TAATCTGGTTCCCTGGTTATAGCATAATTTATTTGTTTCCCTAATTGGGTAGAGTGGGCTTCTAATATTTTCTTATTTTATGTGAAGCTTTGATGAGCATGTGGGGTATCTGACGTCTCAGTGCCCGTGGGGTCAGTCACCAGGGGTAAATAGGAGTCAAAGGGCATCCATCAGCTCTTCGGATGCACTGGCTACTCCTGCCATGCTCTTATCCAGGGAACTTGCAATAACTTGTCCTTCTGGAGGCAGAGCGTTGAAATGTTTCCATCTAACAATGTGTTAACTTTCTTCAGGCTTACATAATCTGTTATAAAAGCTTGAGTTGTTGCATGCGTTTGTGGGTTTTATTTATCGTCACACTTTCTAGGTATTTCCCCTTACTCTGAAGTGTTTCTATAAGTGTGATTTCTTTATTGAGGCTCTAAATAAGTGTGTAACCCTGAGTGTAGACGTGGGAAAGAACAAGAAAGGGGCTTTTCGGTGATGCCATCTGGGATGGGTAAGTCATAGTGTGCCAGGCAGTCAAAGTAAACATGGCATGCCGTGTGCTGTAGTCATTAGGCCTGTGTGCTGTGTTGGTAGGGAACAAAGTCATACTTTTCCTACAAGTGTCCACTGCGGCATCCACAACCTTCCTTTCCCAAAGAGGAATGATAACTTCCTTCAGAGTATGGACCATTTTCAAGTTTCTGATGTTCAGCCTCGGTAGGAGAGACCTCTTGTCTTCCACTCTGGATGTAATTTGCCTTGAATATGTGGCCCATTAAAGTCAGCCCCTGCCTGCCCTGCCCTCTGGAAAATATGTGGTTCTCAGTCAGGATTATTTATTCTAATAAAAACAAGTAAATACAGGTAGGAAAGAATGCGGCTTGCCGCGAGTGAGTGGAGCTGGTCAGGTAATACCCCACCAGCGATGTGCTATGACTCAGGGTCCTTGTCCAGAGTGTCCTGGAGGATTGAGTAACAGGGAAAACCAGACAGGCCAATGTCCACCTCTCCGTGAAGAGTGATCTCATGAACAGGATCTTTGCCTCTGGTGATGGGGGGAGGGGTGTTGGAAAATGAGACCCCAAGAATGATTCGCATCTCTTAATTATTTAAATCCAGTTGAGGTCTGTACAGATCCAGAGGCCCTCTCCTCGACACCATCAACAACACATAGGCTCAAGAGCTGGTCTCTCTTAGTGTAGAGGCCCAGAATTCCCAGCGCTCGGCTCCATGTTGAGCTTGGGGAAGATGGCTGTTGAAAAAGCCCTTTTTCTGGGAAGTTTGAAAAAATCAGAATGGACTGCGAGCAAGGTCTCTGATATGCACTCTCATGAGTGAACAGGTCTACTTTTCAGTGACATTTGACAGTTCCTGGTGGCTCTGCTTTCTGTTTCAGCATCCCTGTCGGCTAGCATTGATTTTCTGTAGCCCCTTGTGTGACTCACATCTGTAAAGTGATTTTTACCTTCTTTTGTACACGAATGATATCCAAGCAGGTGGAGTAGGGACAGGGCCTGCGGAGTCTGGGGCTTACTCCTCACATGGCATGGAATACACTCACAGTAAATAGGAGTTGGCTTGAATTCTAGCACCAATTTCTTGGCTCCTTAAAAGGGGCTAAAAGGAGGGAGGTTATAGTTGGCTTTTTGTCAGTGAAATAGAAAGCTTCTCCTGGGGAAGGAATGTTTAACTAGATCAGCCCACTGTTTCAAAGATGTGCAGACTCTCACTCCTTTTCCAGGGGCCTACAATTTGTGGCCTGAGCTTCTTACAGATTTCTGTTAATGCTAGCCCTGAGCTGTGCTTAGTCACCAGAGCTGTAAACTAGGAACCAGGACTGGGCTGATTTGAATACGATGGCTACTGTGAGCATCTTACCCAGGTGCCTGTGGGAATGAATAACAAGGAAGCGTGGAATACCTATCAAGTTGTGGTTGGCACACCCAGTGCAAAGTATGTGGCAAATCAGCATCAACCCGGTCAACAATCAGCACACGTGGGAAATAGAAGCATCCAGAAAACCCCAAATCTCTCCTAAGAGAGCAGCTGTTGCATCAGGGGCATATGTACTGTTGGGCACTGTGCTGACCAGTAGTGATGTTCAGTCTATTGCACTGTGAGTTAGGAATCGCCATCCTACCTCATTCGTGAGTAGCCCGACGTTGAGCGTGGTTAAGCCCCAGCAGAATGGGAAGGGCTGGCCCAGAGTCAACTAGACTAGTTATTGTTTTCCCCAGCCCTGGACTTGTACCACACTGACCTTTAGCCTGCTCCAGTCCCTTGGCCTTTGGCTCCCTTAAGGCTGAATCGTGCACCCGGAAGTTCCTCGGTCAATATTTCATAGGGTCTGTCGTATCTCGAGCACTTCAGTCAGTACGCGCACAGGCATTCCTTCCTCATTGCAGCTGGAAGACACTGTCCCAAGATCAGAGACCCCACCCACCAGTCAGGGAAGATAACCCAAGGTGAATAAATCACCAGGGGAAGAACAGCTGTTCTATTAAGGTGAGGCTTAGCTGCGTCCTGGTTGTGGTTAGTTACATAGTAGCCAACTGTAATGGCAGAGGGATGTAAAATCTGAAAACATAGCAGTTTATGGTATTCTGTGGAGTGTGTGGGGTTACCTGTGAGAGTTTGCACTCCCTCATCCACTACACCAGAAGCCTGTTCTCAAGACTGAGTGCAGGCATCAGGAGCTTTCAAAGCAGTAGACCAGTGGCTAGACAAGAAAGGAAATAAAGTCTCCTGCTGGAAAATGTTCTTTTCAGATACCACTTAGAACACTGGTTTTCCAAGTGTGGTTCCTGCACCAGGTAACTCTGCAGCTGGGAATTTTCTAGAAATGTAACTTGTGGGTTCTCTCTTCAGGCTGAGTTTGGCTTCAGCCATGGGGTCCAGCAATCCCTCTCAGAGTCTGATAGACTAAGACTAAGGAACAGTACTGACCAAAAAGGCAAATTTGACCCACGCTGCAGATCAGAGACCTCCAACGGAAGGTGTTCTTGTGGCCCTGTGCAGGGGGTGGGTGCTGGCTCTTGGCGGCTGTCTTTCTGATGCTGTGTCTTGGTAAAAAGTGGATTTATCTAATTAAATGTTCCTTCTCCAAGGCAAGCTTTCTATTTATGAACAAAGGTAAGATTGGCAAATAACTTTTTCTGTATACTAATATTTTACAGACCTTTGGTTTTGTGTGTGTAGGGAGTAGAAGGTGTATGTGTGAGTGAATGTGGGCGGGTTTGTGGATTCAATTACCCCCTTCAGGTGCGTATAGGGACCTGAGGATCACATTGTCTTCCTCAATTGCTTCTTGCTTTTTTATTATTAGTATTATGATATAATACTATTAATAGTATTAATAATACATACTGTTATTATCAGGAGGATGCGGATGATGATTTGGTTACGCTGGCTGGCCAGTGAGCTGAGAAAGGCCTATCTCTGCCACCCGGATGTGCCTCCACACTCAACTTTTACTGGGTTCTAGGAATCTGAATTCAGGCCCTGGTGCTTGCACAGCAAGCGCTTCACCCACTGAAGCATCTCCCGGCCTGTGTTTTATGTACTGTCTCTCTTGACTATAGCCTTCCTGCAAGCCTTTTATGAAGGGTTTATGACATACCGTTGTTGTTGAAGATACCATTTAGAATTAATGTACTCTCAGCATTTTGAAGCATTTTCTGTAATCTTTGAGAATACTTTGGAATTTGTAAAATAAGGTTTAATTGCTGTTGGGATAGCCACTTAAGGATAACTCTTTCTGTTGTGTGTGTTGCGGGGGGTGTCCTCTCTAAGATGGTCTCTCTTTCCATCCTCAGGCCTCAAACTTCTTATAAGTTCTAGGGTTTGGTTAGTATATCACTCTGGCCAACTGAGTAACATATATCTCAGTTTGGCTTGAAACTGGCACAGTAGAGTGATAGAAATAAATTAGCAGGTATAGGTAATTAGATAAGTAAAACCAGGAAGGTGAATATGTAAGAAACCTTTTGTGTTTTCTGGATTCTGGAGAGTAACAGATAAGAAATCCCTGCATACAGGTTATTTTTCCATGGTGTGTGTGTGTGTGTGTGTGTGTGAGAGATGTGGAGCCATTTGTGTGGAGATAAAAAGATAACCTTGTGGAGTCATCTCTCTCCTTCCACTTTTATGTGGGTACCAGGAATTGAACTTGGGTCCTTTAGACTTACAAGGCAGGTTCTTTACCAGCTGAGCCATCTGACTGTCCCCACCCCAATTTTTCAAGAATGAAAACCTGGGTAACTTGGGGCATTTGGGTTAGAAACACTAGAGAATCTGAGTGGGTTGGCACTCTAAGTAGATGGTCTACATTAGTTTACACTTTTCAATACTTCCCTTGCTGGAGGATGCGGCTTCTCAAGGTAAAGACTGAAATATGTGCAAGGACTTGTAGTCAGAAAACGGAAAATTTAATTTAGATTTTTTTTCCAGTATCTGTCTTTGGATAACCATTGAATTTCCTAGGCTCCAATGTTTAGTTCTGAAATGTTGGTTTATTTTATCTGTCATGGTTTGGGTGAATAATCATAGTTTTATCTCCACTAGAAGAAAAATAATTTACCCACATGATAGAAATGAGAATATGAATGGGTTGTAAACTTACGTTTTCTTGATATGTGTTTATTTGTGGAAACAAATAAACTAATAATCTCTCTGAAAATAATAATAATATTATTATTACATTAATCCTAATAATAGGTCTAAAAATCTGTCAAAAGTCTGAAAGTGATGACAGCTTTAATTATTTTGAGTTGATTATTGGAAAGATCATCTTTAAAGTTAGAACACTGCTTTTTTGTGTGTTTCTGTGTTATTTAATTTGGCCTATTTGGCAGGAACATTTATCAAAATATGCTGCTTAGTGTATGGACTTAAATATTAGCTGGGGCATTACCTGGTGTTTACAGTTTCATTCCATTTTGCTGCTTTTGTTTGCTTGTTTGTTTTTAATGAAAAAAGTATAGTACCATTAAACCTGAGCTATTTCCTTGCAGTGACCCATATGTGAAGCTGTCATTGTATGTAGCGGATGAGAATAGAGAACTTGCTTTGGTTCAAACAAAGACAATTAAAAAGGTAGGTTGGCTAACTTTTATGAAATTCATATAAGTCATAATTTAACCCAATTACATTTTGTATTTTGGCTCTGTAGAAATTTATGTTTTAAAAATAAGATAGCAATATTTTTATTTTAAGTGACTCTAGTATTACGTCTAAAAATCGCCCATGGTCCAAAACTTTTCCATGTTTTACCTGAGTTAGCTCTATAAAGTTTTTTTTTTCCTTACAACACATATAACCAAACAAATTATTCTGCTTAACTTAATAGTTTTCATAAAGTTTATTTAATGAAATGGATGGTGGACTTGGCAGGCAAAAGAGGAATGGTTTGATTTGTGAAATAACTGGTTCTTGAGGAAGCAGAAATACACAGGATGTGTTAATAGTAAAATTATACATGTGTGTGTCTTTTCCTGTTGTGTGTATGTGTGTGTTGTGCATATTCATGTGGAAGGAGAAATAAGCATGTATATGCGGAGGCCAGAGGCAAATATCAAGTGTCTTGCTTAATCATTCATCCCCTCTATTTTGAGGCAGGGTCTGTCACTACACCAGAATTCTCTGGCTTGAGTAGATAAGCAGGCCAGCAAGTCCCAGGATCCCCTACCTGCTATCTCTGCCACACTGGGTGTTGGCATGACAGGTGCTGTGAACTGCTCCGCCCACTGCTTACATGGGTGCTGGGACTCCCACTTAGCCCTGCATACTTTCACAGCGAGCATCTTACTGACTGAGATCCCTGCATAATAATAATGATAATGATAATAATAATAATGTCTAAATTCACTCACCGCTACGTTTTTGTTTATATATAAAAAATATAGGGATACTTCATCTGTATATCTTGGGCAAGGATGGGGATGTTTTCTACCAAGAATACTATATTTGTGTTTTGGAGTTGTTTGAGTTATTATTATCCTCCCCTACACACACACACACACACACACACACACACACACACACATCGTTTTCTATGAAATATTTTCTGATTCCATGATTGTTTTAAAAAGATTGTATCTTTCCTGCTGCTATGGAGACACTTAAGATCTACGGCACAATCAGGTCATTTTATGTAGGAAACAGTGTCCTTCACCTGGCATTGAAAACCAGCAGTGAAACCTGTTTGCAAACAAGCCAGTATAGAGATTAGTGGGAGGCCGCCTATGAGGAGGGAGGCCATTGTTCCCAGTGTTAGGCACTGGCACTTGTTCTGTTCCAACTGAAGCTGGGGTCTCTAGTCAGAACTGCAGTCAGGGGCCTGGTCCCCTGCTGGGCTAGAGCCAAGGACCCATGCCAGTGACTATGGTATTACAATGTCTTTCATTCGGAGTGACAGCCCTGCTTCTCCCTCCCTTCGCCAGCTGGAGGGAGTGTCTCCATTCTCGCGGCCCGGTTCCTGGTTAGTATTGCTGTGTTGTGCTGTGTGGTGCTGGACTGTGCGGTGCTTGTGGGAGAGCTCACGCTTCCTCTACCTGTGTCCCTGCTCCTTTTGCTTTGTGGTTTCCTTTTGTCCCTGGCCTGCCTGGCAACACCATCTGTTTCGTTCCATGTAGCTGTCTTCCAGTTCTAAAGGGGAGCATTCGCCACCCCCAGTTCCATCTCAGTTCTGTTCATACCTCCAAAGTGTGGTCATTCAGGGTGGGGGTTCTCTGGAGTTGGGGGTTGTTATTTTTTAATCGATGTCAATTGATCATTGCCACAGTGCTGTTCTGCATGTGTGGTTTAGTAAGCTGGGTATTTCTCTCTCCCCTGTTAAAAGGTAAATATGTTGACGAACAACTTTTCATTTTCAGAATTTTATAGGTTGTTTTTACAGGTTGTGTTTCTGACTTTTATGCCTGTACAAATCTGTGTTGTATGAGTGATGTGTGTTGGTTGTGTGTGATGTATATATATGTGTTCCTTCATAGAAAGTACTTCATGTTAAATTAGAAGACTGTTTAGTTCAAGCTCAACACCAGAATATCGTTGCTGTGTTCTTGCAGGATACGTAGTTAAGGTGAATGATATGTGAATGAAGGGGATCAAAGGATATCTTTTAAATGATTGCTTTAGGGAAAAGAAAAAAATACAGTTTTCTTTATAGTGTGTGTGCATGTGTTAAAATCTCCTCAATATTGTTCTCTGTGAAAATATTCTTTAAATATCGACGATGATGTAAGTAATGAGAACCTTCAGCCTCTCCTCTGTCAACACACACTTGTAGCAGGTAGAGGGGAATCAACAAAGTGTACGTCCTTCTTGACAGAGTAAATCCTTTTTAATGTCATTCTCTAAAGGGGACTTTTGTTTCTCGTGGCTCTTTGTCGGTAAGTCCCAGCATTTTTCCTTCGGGTGAGCTCGTGCAATTTATGGTTTCATAGTCATGAGTCATGACTTTCATAAATACAGTCTCTCCTCCATCCAATTTGGGTTTATAGAATAGTCTCAGATAATTGACTAAATGTTGCTTTTATTGCCATTTTGAAAATCGCTTTTATGAGGAAATTGTTTGCACAAATATGAAAAGCTTGTGTTGTATTAGTAACAGCTCCAGCACAGCTGAAGATCACAGAATTCTCTCTCTTCCAGACGCTGAACCCGAAGTGGAACGAAGAGTTTTATTTTAGAGTAAGTTTTTCTTTCATTTTGTAGTAATATTATTCATACCTAGATTGATATATCAAAATAGACTCATGGAAAGAAAACTAGATAGCATTTTAAAAGTAAGAAATTTCTCTTAAGACAGGAAATGTTTGGGTTCGGTAGACTCAGGATATGTCCCAAATTTTGAAAATCTGTGAAGGTTTCATTTGTAGAGGAGAGATAGAAAAGGTTGTCAAGATATCATGTTCTGTTTTTCAGATAAAACTTTTCTTTAAATATAATATTTAAATATAAAAATCAGACTTTGGAGTCCGGTTAATTCCAGTTCTGAGCTTGTTTGTTTTGCAACCTTTAAAAAATAAAATTTGAAGGAAAAGAAAGGCAAAAAGACAGTGCAATTTAAAACAGTAGCCGTATGATTTCTATGTGATGCGGATTATGAACTGCATCCAGAGTAGAGAGATAATTAAAAGGAAGCATCACTAATTGCCAGTGATGAGGACAGGGGTAGCTCAGTGGCAGAGTACTTCCCTAGTATTCTGGAGACCCTGGGTTTGAGCTCCAGCACTGCCTCCCCACAAAAGACAGAAAATTACCAGTTATGCTCAGGATAGAAGGGAAAGATTTCTAATTCGGAGATCTAATGTGTACAATTACATTCAATACCACCGATTAGAAGAACATTTCCTCAGCCTCCGGCACCCCTTGTTTAGAACAGCTGGATTCTGAAGGGGATTCTGTGGATTGATGGAGACCGGTGCTTGCTGGTGTTTGCTAGCAAATATTTGGAAGCATCAAGCCCCTCAGCCATTTAATTGGAAGAGAAGAAGGAGTTTCCCTTTAAAATTGAAAATTTGAGTTGTCTGTACACCCGGGATGCTAAGAAAGACTCACCTCCAAACTGCTCCAGCTTAGGCCTTCTAGTGACTGCATGCTAAGAGCCAGGCGCACAGCCCTGGCTTCTTTCAGTCATGGTAGGATTTTCTGTGCTGCAAACTTGGATGACTTTCCCTGCATCTGTTTTCTGTTATGTTCAAAGCTGAAACATGGCTCTGAGGTTTTAACACTTGGTAGATCCCATGTTCAGCCTCTACCAGATACAGTTTAGATAAGCTGGGGAAGGGCTGAAAAGCTGTTGATGGCTGAGAAGTGTTACTAGATCTTTATTAGTGCTCAGATATAACAAGCAGTTTCTTGGGGAGCTAAATCATTTGCTCTCCTTCCATTTGAACCACATTGTATGAATTTTATTATATATAAAGCTTTGTCTATAAGTCTTACCTATAGGCATATTTGTTTCTCTTTTTCTTTTTTTTTTTTTAAAGATCTTTGCTTTATTCCCCGCACAGTTTCTTAACAAATGCCTATTGCATGCCCATCTCTACTGTAGACTATTGATGCATTTCTGATAGGTGTGCAGCCTTTGGCAGAGCTGATGAACAGCCATCCATCCATCTGCTTGTTCTGTTGCAAAGCTGTCTGCAGACACGGGGCCAGGAGCTCAAGTTGAGCACATGAGCTCTCTGTGCTACAACCAAATATAATTTCATCCCATGTTCCATGGGGAGCCCAAGCCTAGCATAAGACCCAACTCACATGCCTGCCGTTGCCACTCACTTTGAGAACTTGAGGACACCAAACATTCACAGTCTCCTGGAGAAGTCCGTTCCATGTACGCTTTTCTTCCCTGATCGATAGGCGAGTGTGTCAGTAGCAATATCTGATACCGTGTCCGGCAGGATTGGTAAGGTAGTCAGTGGCACCTGAGTCCACATGATGAAACACAGGTTATTTGGGTGAGTTGGGGTAAAGAGAAAGAAACAAACAAACACTGACAACTCTCAGGGCTGTGACTTTGCCCTAACCCAGGGCAAGTCCTGATTGCTCAATATACTGGCTTGTGTGCTCCTGGGTAAATTGCTTCACCACCCACTTGGGCTCAGTGATTTCTGTGTGAAAATGAAGTGATAGTTACACACTGTTGAGTTGTTGGGAGAATAAAATGAGACCATAAAGTGTTAGTAGTTCAGGAAATAATAGTTGGAGGTGGGGCACAATGGCATATAGCTGTTTGTGTGTTCATCATTACCTTCATTAGGCCAATGAGCATAAGGCCTTGATCTGCAGATATGAGGGTAGCTTTGTAGAAGAGATTGGAGCTCCTTTAAGACTGCTAAGAAACAACAATAAAGATACTGCCTTTTTCTGGTATGCCTAGATATTTGGGGTAGAATAGTAGCAGATAAGCAGGTCAGTCATTATTATACAGTAGAGTCCAGTGTGATTCTTGATTCTTCCTGTCTCTTAGATCAAATTTAAAATGATACCTGTTGATATTTAAATATGGTTTCTGTCCCTTTTAGGTAAATCCATCTAATCATAGGCTCCTGTTTGAAGTATTTGATGAGAACAGATTGGTAAGTCCTTGGTTTTGAGTTTTGCTTTCTTTTCCTAAGAACTGATTTTTTTCGAGTGGTACCTTTGAGATCTTCCAGGTCATTCACAGCAGTGCACATGCCTCCAAAACACTGTTTTTGGTCTCACTGTTCAAGCTCTCAATACTGGCAAATATTGGTGTGTTGCTCGGACAGAAATTTTATTTGGGTATGTATATTTTTTATAGTTATTATTGATAAAAGTCACCTATGACTATGAGGCTCATCCCAAAGGCCTCATTATGCTTTGTGTAGGGAACTCAGATGCGAAGGTGCATCTGTGAGAATGTCATCAATCCTGTAACCAAGGCTTGTGGCCATTTACAATGTTCCTCAGGCTTAGCATGCCACAGTGAGTTCACGGACAACTCTATGGCGATTGTCTCTGAGGAAGCAAAAGTCTAATTCACAGTGTATAGTTAAAGCAAATCTCCTTTACTGTTGAAGTCAAACAGTGATACCTTAGGAAAAAACCTTAGAAAGTCATTTCAAAGGACGAGCATAAGAGCTGGAGGTGTGGCTCTGTGGCAGATTTCTTGCCTGTCATATGTGAGGCTCCATTCCCTATTCAGTAAAAATAAGAAACCCATACATGAAATAAAACCCACCAAAAGCAAAATAAGGAATCCCAAATACATGCTCGAAGATAACTGATACAGCAAACATTTTATATTTAGATCTATAATATATCTGTAATTGACATAGAATATAAAGCGCATGTATGATGACCAGAGGACAGCTTTGTAGAGTTGGTTCCCTCCTTCCACTTCTCTGTACGTTCCAGGGACACAGGTGACTGTTTGCATGACAAGGGCTTCTGTCGACTGAGACATCATGCTAGCCTAGCGTTCTCCTAAGTAACTAGAATGTTTACATTAAATTCCCATGGGCCTCATGTCCCAGCTTTGAAAAATGAACATGATCAAGTTATGTGTAAGTCTTGAAAGCACCCTGAGAAGTGGGAATAAAATTCAGGGCGCTTGATTGATTATACTCCTGTTTGCTGCCCTGCCTAAAAGGAATGTGTGTTCTTGACCTCATCTTTCTACAGAATTCAATTGAGACTCCACACATTGTAGACTAGCTTGAGGTTGACAGAAAGTATCGTCAAGAGGATTCTTGAGACAAAGTTCCGCGCTCCGCTGTTATTAAGGATGAAACAGCTCTGCTTCAGAGTCCGAATATGATTAAATGCTGATCGGGGGCACACGGGGTCCAGCACCTGGGCATCTCAATGTCAGCTTATGCTGGGGAATAGCCAGAACCTCTACCCTTAATAAAGAATTTGTGGGCGGATATAATCTGACGCGCTCGCCTTTAGTCTCCCAAATGGAAAGCTAACAGATTGTACCTCCTAGCCCAGCATCTTTCCAGTTATAAATATGGATCGTGGTGGCTTTGTTGACATGGTACGTGGCTTGTGGGAGTGATCGCTAGGGGCACTGAGTAACTCTTGTGTGAATTGCTCAGTGTAGTTCCTGCCTCTCATACTCTGATCTAGCACGAGCTGGTAACTGAACTGGTGACATTCATTGAAATAACGCAAACAGTAAGTCTGCAGGGACAGAGCCTCCATAGACCGATACTTACCTCTGATTTTAGGAGGATAATCGTTTTAAAATGAAACAATGGTCAGACTTGAAGAGAAAGTGCCTCTTCGTGCTCTCTTACTAAAAGATATTTCCTGTCTTTGTATTCCCCATTTGTGTGCTCTAACATAATGCTTGCAGTTGCGTGACCTTGCTGTGGGTAAGAAAGGTATTTCCAAACCAAAAGGAGGCTCTGACTACAGAGTACTTTAAAAACCGAGTGGTCCTATTTTACATGTCCTGCTTTGTCTTACCCCGAGCTGTCTGCTGGCGCAGCTACCATGCATAGATTGCCAGTGTTGCTGGTGGTGGCCTTTCCCCTTTGTTGCCTGTTAATCCAGCCGACACAATACGTGACTGGAGTCTACTTGGAAGTTCTGGCATCGAGCAGACTAGACTCTAAGTCTCACAGAGCTTATTTTTGCCATTCAGAACTCTGTGCATTTAGGAAACAGGTTCGTGTGTGTAAACACGGGGTTAATCCACCACACCCTCTGCTCCAGAGCAGTTTACAAAGACATGCTTTGTCGATTTTAAAATAAGTTTTTCTCACTCTTTCCCCTCCTGGCTTTTTTTTTTTTTTTAAGTCCCATCTAAACAAATCTCTTTGTTAAGGAACTGGTGTTTCTGGATCATAGGAAAGAGTATATTTAAAATGCAGAGAGTATTTCCAGGTTCATTATGGATCTCCGCTGACAATTTTTTGGGCATTCACTTTTAGTTCTTAGATTTTTTTTTTTTTCCTGGCCCATTGCAGACGGCAAGATTTTTAGGTCTGTGACCCAACTGTGGTGATCCTGATGTGTTCTCCCGGGAAAACAGCTCCAGGCCTTTCTTCTGTATGTTTTTAAGTTAAATTACTACTAAGCCCACATACACTGCTCTTCAGTTCTCTCTCTCTCTCTCTCTCTCTCTCTCTCTCTCTCTGTGTGTGTGTGTGTGTGTGTGTGTGTGTGCGCGCGCGCGCGCGCGCTCACGTGGGGGGGGAGAGTTATGAGAGAGATTTGTTTTCTCCAGCTGGGTTTCTTTTCTCTGTTAACTGCTGTTTCTGGTGATCATATTATATGTGGCACACACACCCCTTTAAATGCAGAATGTTTATAGTAAGTAGTAAGAGCTGGACCAGGCTCACAGCTGGCAGTGCCCTGTTGTGCCCCCTGTGCCTTCCCTTGGCTATTTTGTTACTTGTAGATCATGGTCTAATTATTTCCCATTAAAGGGACACGAATTCCGTAGGGTGTGTAATCGTATTTATAGTACATTTTATTACTTTGCATTCCCTCGTGGCAGTGTAGTGATATCATAACAGAAACAGAACATTTGATGCTTGAGAAGGTTCGCCCCGCAGCCAAGCTCTGTTTTACTTGTTCTTTGGTGTGGCAGGGAGGTGGAGGACATACCTTTGAGTGTCTGTGCTTCTTGCAGGCTCCCCGGCGTCAACAGGAGAGAGACCTAGTGCTTGTGGTAGTTGGGAAAGCATTTCCCTGTGAGTGTGATGGGTCAGATTTACAGCGGCATAGCTGTGAGTGTGTTTGCTGCCTCAGTCAGCTGCCTGAGCTCCCTGCTGGGCCGCCCCTTTCTGACAGAACAGCAGCAGCTGGGAAGGTGCTGTTTCAGGCTCTTGCTGTTGGGTGGGGAGGGGGGGGGACCGCAAGAGAGGGGAAACTTCACTAAGTGTAGAAGCTGGCATTGGAGGGGGAGCCGGTGGTCATGTGTCTCTGGCCATCCTACCCTCTGTCACAGACTAGATGAGAGCTTTTTGCTCTTATCCAATCATGCCTGGAATGCTGCTTGCCACTTGGGCTATTTCTGCTATCTGTCGCTCTTGGTGCCGCAGTGCTAACAGTTTGGCAGATGGGACACTTTTTCTTGGAGTTGGTGTCTTTGGGTTTTGACTTCTGGCATTGCTGGGCGTGTTGTCGCTCGCTCTCTCCCTCCTGGCCCCCCTGGTCACCATGGCCCATCGGCTTCGGTTTCATTTTGGCTCTGGACGCAGCAATACGGCCCCCGAGTCTGAGATTCTAGACCAGGAGAGAGAAGAGGACTTTTTCATGGCATTCCACACGCTGCCACGGAGAAGCAGCCCGCACCCCTTCACCCAGAGCACAGGGGAGGACGGTGGCCTGCAGGAGGGCGTGGGTGCTCTCAAGCGCAGCTCATCCATGTTCATACCGCAGCTCCTGACTGGGGTGGACACCAGGCCCACACGGAGCTCCTCAGTGCAGATCTCTCTGCAGCGCAAGGCCGCAGACGGCGCCACAGACAGCTGCGGGCCACCCGAGGGCCCTGACGACAGGCCCCCGAGTGCCCAGGCTGACCTCGGAGACCAGGCCGCGGCCACAAGGGTCTCGGCTCAGATTAGCTCATCGGAGCCCTCTCCAGTGGACACTCCTGGAAGCTCCCCTCCAAGGGCAGCCTGGGATCCCGGGACCCTGATCAATGGCACTTGTGATCACCGTGGTCAGTGTCCCCGCTTGCCTGAGGATACAGAGGAGGCCACCCCAGGCCTGCGCATCCAGCACAGAGCCTCCAGTGCCGATGTGCGCCAGGTGCGGCTGCTGCCCTTCGGCCCGGATGGCCAAGCAGAACCCAGACGCTGGTCCCTCCAGCATGTTCCAGACGCTTCTGGGAGCTCCGGAAAGCGTTGCTTTGTCTTTCAGCTGCAACAGCCCCATCAAGGAGCTCTGGGGCTGGGCGGTGACTTCAACTTTGGCTTCACTGGCACTAAGGGGGACAGGTTGGTGAGGTATCCGCGCATTCGGCTGGAGAGGAGCACCTCATACCCCACCCAACCCCGAGCAGGCCGGGTGAGCCCCACCGAAGACCGAGGGACCCCAGAGGCATCTCCTCGGACCAGTAGGATGGTCCCGGAGATCCGCAGGACAAATTCAGAGAGATCCCCGCAGAGTCCAGGATGCATGTTCAAGATCAGGCAGGATCAAAATGCAGGGCAGCAGCATTTCCGAATTCTTGTGACTCGGGGACCAGAAGAAGCTCCCCAGAACCAAGAGGAGACTCCCAAGAGTCCTGGACCCCCTGGAGCTGGTGCTCCGGTAAGTGGCAGGTACACGTGTTAGAGTGGCTCAGAAGGGGACCGGGCCAACACAGAAAGCTTGGTTATTTTGCAGCCCAATTCTCCGATGAAGGAATATCCTTCCTGTTGAAGTCAGTGGATCGCAGTGTTTTGGTAGCAGTCCCTGAAGCTCATAGCCTTCCAGAAAATACTTTTTCTGTAGGTCTTTGACGTAAGACGCTCCGCCTGTTTGGGGATCCTAATCTTAATACATACCATTTTTAGTTTAGTTTAGAATGGAAGAATTTTAAAAATTTATTTCTTAAAGATAGTCTGCTATACAGCAAGTCAGTGTCTAAATGTGCTGATGTTGGCAGTGA